TATCTATAAGCCCCGGCAACTACTTAACACCCAGTGAGCCGTGAACTCGTACACTCGTCTGAGTAATAAAAAAATATGATCATATCTATATTGGTGACATATTTTGATTTGTTCATTACTGAGATAGATCTGCTGTACTGATTTTAGGCTTCGAATTTCGACATGGACCAGGCCGGAATGAAGCACCAGCTCCTGCAGCTCCAGCAGCTGCTGATGTTCGCTAGCCCGGAGCTGGCCCAGCACCTCTCGCAGAAGGACTCCGGGAACATGTACTTTTGCTTCCGCTGGCTGCTAGTATGGTTCAAAAGGGAATTCTCACATATCGATATCATGAGGTTTGTTTCGTTAATCTTTTTATGGTGATTTTTATGACCAATGTGGTCTTGAGTGTGCCTGGACCAGTTCCTTCTATTTACAAAAATAGAAAAATAGTTACCGTAAAGATAAGAAACAAACATAGGTTATAACCTTTTTTATCTGATAAAAAAAAGTGTTTCTATTATAAATTCATACTACGTAATCAATATAAACACGTCTTACGTGTTTTACACCTACAGTTGGACAATTTGTAATAATCTGTATCATTTGATAATTATTTCAGGCTATGGGAAGTGTTGTGGACGGGGTTGCCATGTGCAAATTTTCATTTGTTGATATGCGTTGCCATATTAGATGCAGAAAAAGAAGTTATAATTAGTCGAGATTACGGTTTCACTGAAATATTAAAGGTATTCAACAATTTGACTATTACTTAACTTTTGGTGCTCCAGTTTATCCGGAACATGTGGTCAAAATTAAGTGAATCCCATTGTCACCTAGACAATGATGTTTTAAAACTTAATTTGATATCAATCAAATTTATTAAAGAGAGTGTCAGGACATAATTGAAAAAAACTGCCCATAATTGAAAAAAACGATTGGATTATGTAATTTTTTCACAACCCAAATAGGCGAAATCGGTTCCAATCCGTGCATCCACATTACAGGCCCAACTACCGGTACTGAAAGTATACATATGTATAGGTCTTATACGAATTTACACTCAAAATATGAACTCTAGGGGGGAAGTTGGGAAGTTAGATAGGAAAATTTTATCAGAATAATAAATATTGAACACTGATCTGTGGTGTAATCCAAGAGTGCTGGAGTCGCAAACCTATTTATGGTAATAATTAGTCGGGCTGAAGTTTATTTAAAAAAATGGAAACAGTTCTGTCTTCGTTTTTACAATAAAAAAAAAACAAAAAAAAACTGAATCAACATTAATATTTTGACATTTCCTTTCAGCATGTGAACGATCTATCGATGACTTTGGACGTTGACAGGGTACTAAGTTCAGCCGAAGGCATATATCACCAGATAGTTTCGGCCCCGCATTTGACAGATCAAATCAGGATAGTCTTAGGAATCGAGCCATTGAATCTGTCAATGTCAACAAATTCCGACCCTGAGCCCTCTACCTCTACTCTACCCTCTACCAAACCAAGTCAAGTTGAGCTAAAGGAGGGCAACGGTAATACCATTTTTGGCCAAGAAATGGACGAAGTTATGTATCAAATAGGATTAGATATGAATTTTTGAGTGGTGATTATAATATGTACATGTACATACAGTTGGCTATAGTAGATCGAAGACGCTTTTTAGGTTTGCCATATTCAAGAAAAACTTGAATTATGATGTTAATTATTAGTAAGTAATCAGAACTAAGACATAGTGAGTGACAAATTAGTTACAAAACAATTAATACTACATTATGGATTATTATTTCAATAATTTTGAATTATATTGAATGTGGCAAACATTCGTACAAATAATAAAACGACAAATACATGTAGTGGGTTGTGTATTGCTGTGATATGAAAGTAATTTACTAATGATTACTTTAGCTAGCATGGTTTATTGTTTTTGGAATGCACTCTTAACACTAATCATACCAACACTTACTGGTACTTATTGCTACCATACCGGGTAGATAATGGTATACGACAAGTATTACTCGAGATAAACAAAACAAAACAAAACAAAACGTGTATTAAAATAACTGTAGATTATTTCGTAAGAAAAAGTCAAGAAGTCAAATGTGCAAAAGCAATTAGATGATACGTGCACTTTCAATGCAAACTTTCAAAATGGGTCATTTGACCAGTTATGGTATGTTTAGTGTTAATACAGACAAACGCATATTAAGCACCAAACATGCAAATTAACAGCTTGATAATCATTAATAAAACTTAATAACTTCAAAATTGCTTTTTAACGAATGTGATGAAGAGTTTCTGACCTTTATGTTATTGCTTAGCTATATAATATTTTAATTTTAATGAAGCTTCAAAGCTAACCACAAAATGCACTATAACTCACTTATAGCTAATGTGTGTATGAATTTACCTAGTTCAGAGGTAAATAATAAATGGTAGTGTTGTTTTTTCTGTTTTCTACATGCTTAACTGTTTTGTAAATGACGTTGAGAAATTAGAAATGATAATTAATTATATAGTTCTAGTAGCATATTAATAGATTCATAATGATGTTTCTTTGTTAAAAAACATTGTTTTATTTTTCTATTTCAGGATGTAGTCGTATATAATGGATTACGAATAACAATAGTTACGAAAACTGTATGGGCTCTACTCGCCTGAGATACACTGTATCAAAGAATACTAACAGATGGTGTAATGCTAGAATTAATCAAGAAATTTGCAAGAACGGATGATGCAGATGGTTTTTTAGTCGATTTCTGAGTAGGTATTCCTATTATATTCCTTTTCTTTAATTGACCATTTGTTGGTTATTTCTTGCATTAAACCATACGCCAAAACATGACTGCATTATAATAAGAATGATATTTTATATTTTTCTAAGAAATAAAAATATGTCATACGTAGATAATCTATTCGTTGGTTGAATGTACAAATTTTTTATTTTTAATAAATTGGTACAGGATAGATATTTTATAAATTTGATAGTTCCAGCGGTGCTCGATTCCAACTAAACAATGAAAATGTTAAATTATCTTTAGATTAGAAAAAACATATATTATTTTTTTAATGCGCATTTGAATTTGAAAAGAAGTATGTTTCAATACATCATGTTTAGTGCTGATCATTTATAGGTGAGGAATTGGTAAATTAATACCAAAAAAGAAAACCTTCTAAAATTTATTATTGTAAATCATTTTAAATATCCAGCACTTGTATGATTATTACTGTTTACACATATTACAATGTGTTGTCTATTTTTTTAAATTAACGTATCTCCTTGTTATTTTAGTACTTGTAATGTTAATGGCGAATAATAATTTTAGTGCACACCGTATTTTTATTTAAATAAATGTTTTTTATCAACAGACTATTTGGTTCCAAATTTTGTGACTATCCTTGAACAAAATAAGAAATTTATGGCTGTCAGTTTCCTCAGTCATGTGTTTCGGCTTGAAGTAGAAAAGCCAAAATTCTAATGACCCTAAAACAAAAATGGTAACTTTAACTTATTTTACACCCGTCCTAAGGCTGGCTGTGCAAATGTTTCAAAGGGCGCACTAAAGCACAGTAACATTAACAGTTACGTAATGTAAGTAACAGTAACATTAACAACAACGTGTTATTCTTTTTTTAATATGGCGGTCTGCTTCTTTTTCCTTTTTCCATTTAATTCCTCCTTGCTCAAAGGAAAAAACGCCAGAGGCATGGAACAGGGGTGTTGTGGTTTTGTTTTTCAAAAAATGCGACAAAACCTTATTGAAGAACTACAGGCCCATAACACTGCTGAGCCATGTCTAGAAGCTGTTCTCGAGAGTCATCACGAACCGTCTCGAACGCAGGCTTGATGACTTTCAGCCTACCGAACAAGCCGGTTTCCGAAAAGGCTTTAGCACCATAGACCACATACATACGCTGCGGCAGATTATACAAAAGACCGAAGAGTATAATCGGCCACTATTCCTGGCGTTTGTGGACTATTAAAAGGCCTTTGATTCCATCGAAACTTGAGCGGTCCTTAGATCTCTCCAGCGGTGCCGTATTGACTATCGGTATGTCGAGGTGTTCAAGTACTTGTTTAATAACGCCACCATGTCAGTCCGAATACAGGCGCATTGCACGAAGGAAATCACGTTAAAGAGAGGAGTAAGACAGGGAGATGTTATATCTCCGAAACTGTTTACCGCTGCCTTAGAGGATTCCTTCAAGCTCCTGGAATGGCAAGGACTTTGCATCAATATAAACGGCGAATACATCACACACCTTCGATTTGCTGACGATATAGTGGTCATGGCTGAGTCGCTGGAAGATTTGGGGCAGATGCTCGGTGACCTCAATAGAGTTTCCCAACGAGTGGGCCTTAAAATGAATATGGATAAAACGAAAATCATGTTCAATGTCCATGTTAAGCCCACCCCAATAACTGTTGGGAACTCTACTCTTGAAGTTGTAGACGAATATATATACCTGGGACAGGCAGTCCGATTAGGTAAGTCCAACTTCGACAGAGAGGTCAGTAGGCGGATCCAACTCGGCTGAACAGCGTTCGGTAAATTAAAAAATGTGTTCTCGTGCAAAATCCCTCAGTGCCTTAACACAAAGGTATACAACCAATGTGTGCTACCAGTGATGACTTACGGCTCCGAGACGTGGTGCTTCACAAGGGATCTTTTTAGAAAGCTCAGTGTCGCGCAGCGAGCTATGGAGAGGGCTATGCTTGGTATTTCTCTACGTGACGAATCAGAAATGAGGAGATCCGTAGAAGAACCAAAGTTTCTGACATAGTCCGTAGGATTAGCACGCTGAAGTGGCAGTGGGCAGGCCACATAGTGCGAAGATCGGACGGCCGATGGGGCGGAAAGATCCTCGAGTGGAGACCACGGACTGGCAAGCGCAGTGTGGAACGGCCACCTACGAGATGGACCGACTACCTAGTAAGAACCGCTGGGTCACGTTGGATGCAGGTGGCAACGGACCGGCCGCACTGGAGATCACTTGGAGAGGCCTATGTTCAGCAGTGGACAATGGACAGGCTGAGATGATGATGATGATAAATTTGCTTCTTGCGATGCCATTGTTGCCAGTGTTGAGTGTACAATCATAGGATCTGCACTTTTTGGCAGGAACGCGATGCTCCCCGAGCATTTTTCCGGAGCTCCTTGCAATGTCAAGTCATAATCATCCCCAGTTGACACGACGGGAATACCAAAGGCCCTTAAGCTAAAAGGTGCGAAAACCAACCTAGATAAGAGTCAGACCTCGTGTCTCAATCGTTTTGTTTGCGGATTCTGGCCTAGATCATGGAATAGGTCAAAATTTGCAGTCGATGTATTTGTAGTGATTTCAGTCAATGTTTTAGTGTAAAATAAAAGTCATTTTGTGTGTGATATTTTTATGAGATGATTTTGAGGGTATGATTTGGTTTTCGTTTTATGTCACATATCATGATATTCAATTACAATACGGGCCACCAAGTGTTAAGTGGATACCGGAGCCCATAAACACCACAATAATGCCCCCATGCACCTCATCTCATTCGAGATGAATTCAGTGCTGTTTACGACGTACATGGTATAGCGTTGGTGTTTTACTAGGCCAAGACAGGCAAGTAGACTCCTAAATATTAATAGATAGCCTGTTATAAAACCAATTTACAATTTCATAAAAATAGTGGTACATGAATTGATCTTAGCAATCCGTAGTATACAATAAAAATACAATTTAATTGGGTATTTTACACAATATATGTAATAAATACTACTATTATTGATCAATAATACTTATAAAGTCATAATACTCATATTTACTTGTGTGTGTGATTTCAAATGTACATTCAGTCCATATCTAGTTTGGTATGATTTATCGCACAAGTGACAATGAAAGTTCTTAACCCCAGTATGAGTCAAAGAGTGCCTCTGCAGTTCAGATTTGGAGAAAAACCTTTTCCCGCATGTATCACATCGGTATTTCTTTTCTTTTAAATGATTCTTACGTATGTGCGAACTTTTAGAGCTCGAGGAAATAAATGTTGCATTGCAAACTTCACATTTGTAGTTTCGTGTTCTTTTGTGATTCCATAATACGTGTGAATTGAGACTTCCCGGAACTTTGAACTTCTTGGGGCAGTATTTGCAGCTGTACGATCTTTCGTCACCATGGGTTAACATGTGGATTCTAATGTAATTTGGGGGGTAAGACCTACCGCATTGGTCACACTGACGTAACACTCTCTCCGTTTTAGTTTTACTTTTATCTCTGTTCGGCTGGCAGGTATGCATACTTAGTTCTTCCTCATTGAGAAAGCCATCCCAACAGTTTTCACACAAAAACGGTGTCAAGTGAAGTTTTCTGTGTAGCACCAGAGATCTGAAGTCTTCAAATTTTTCACTGCAATAATCGCAACTCCTTCCAGCTCCTTTTGTGGGATGACTATTATTACAATGTTCATTTAATGTTTTAACACAATTAAATTCCTGTTTACACACAGCACAGTATATTGTTACGAGTTCCTCTTTAACTTTCACTTTTGTTTTGAATTTTTTCTTTTTTCTGTTATATTTTTTTTTATTTTCATCATGAGATTCACTTACGGCTTCGTAATTATCGTTTGTATGGTTTAAATCATTATAGTTTTCTATTAATTTCCTATAGCTTGATTCTATTAGGACTTTGAAAGAATATGTGATGGTTAGTTGGTGAGCACAGCTGATGCAGAGGTTTTCAGAAAGTAGGGGATCTTCTGTTACCTACAAGAAGAATAATAAACGTTTATTGTCAGCAAAAGTCGAGAACATTACAAAGCATTATTATGTCACAAAATTTATTAACAAAAGAATAGTCACAATCCTAAAATTTAACATCACCTTCATCGGTATCTGTATTTCTTGTAAAATTCCGTTCTTTTTTTAATTAAATGTAGTATTTACGATCAGAACGATTCAATGAATTCAATGAATATTTTCCAACTAATAATTTTGAAACTATGGCAACTTAATTATATTAAGAGTAATACCTGATAGCTATAGAAATTCAGCAATATTTCTGCAAACTGAACGTCTCGTCCTCCTATGGAAATTGAAGAACTGATGGATCTCATGTCTGTAGAACTACCCAAACAAGTACGGCATTTGTCTTTATAATTCATTGTTTATCCAAATGTTTCCTATATAAATTTAATACTTTAATAAATTTCTTTAAATAGATTCATTTCTTTTCATTGCAATTTGAATAAATTGTTTATTTACATACTTTACCATTACACTTTCTTTTACTTCATTTGTTTGACGGGACAGGCAAAGATAATATAGTCTATACAGGCAAATATTTCGTCACAAAAGACTAGTCATGTTTATTATTAAAAATTGAAGTGGCAGCAAATTAGATATAACTGATTAAATTGAAATCGAGTTATTTTGATTCGAACTCTTATTTCAGATTTAAACCTGAGGAAACATTGAATTACTACAATAATTACATACCTACTAGAACAATTCATAGATAATAACACGGTGACAGTTGACAATTGGTGCGTGACAGTTGGTGTGGTGACAGACAAAATGTTTTCACAGCGTGATCTGCCTGAAGAAAATATACAAATCAGTAAAACAGTCATAAATAACCGTCGTCGGAGGCGTAAAAGGAAAACAGCACAAAAAAACAAACAATTAGGTAACAAAAGAGATTTTCAAAATCTCAAACGGATACATTTCGGTCTTACAATGTCATCTTGGGCAGAGAATTTCACAACTGCAGCGACTTGGCAATTGAAACACCAAATCGCTTATTGGAAGTCAAAAGCGAAGGCATTGGAATATGAAAACAAACTACTACATGATATTATTAAGAAAAATTACACAAGTGACCTTCCTATACAGAAACAAAATGTCAAGAAAGAACAAAGCTTGAAACACGAGTCTAATATCGACGACGAAGAAATTTGCGAAGAAAATAATGACATTGAAGTGAGCGAGGAGTTTATACAGTTTTTGAAAGATAATGCGAAGTTCAAAGAAGACGCTAGACTGGAACGCGAAAAGTTAAAAACCAAGTTAGATTCAGAAAATCCCCAGGATGCAAATGTGTCTGAGCCTTCTAACAAAGCAGAGAGCTCTGAGGAAAAATTAAAGGCCTTGTATGGAAAAGATTGGCAGAGGATGTGTGCTTTAGAAATGTCACTAGAATGTGAGTTTTTAGATTCCTGTGAAAGAGATAAACCTATGCATTGGCCCAACATACCATTCAATTTCAATTTTAGTTGATTTTATGTACTAATCATAAAGTACAATTTTATGACTATGTAAAATGCTGGATGTGGTTCATATAGACTCAGTGTAAGAAATTTTTTTTTGTTTATTTTTTAATAATGCAATAATTGTACAAATTTACGCTTATTAAAGTATTACAATATGTCCCATAGCTAAGCAAATTTTTAAATTGAGAATTAAATAAATTTAAACTGTTTGAAATTTGTACCTCATAAAACTACAATGTTATTTCTTTAGGCATTTTGTCTTTTTTTATATTAATCTCGAGTGTCCAGTCTCGGACAATGTGCAGACTTCTAATATGACATGTAAAATGTTACGAATGTAGGGAGATTGTTTGTTTTTAGATTAACTGGGTTTATGGTTTAAATGGAACTTTTTGTATAAGATAGTAATTAATTAGATTAATAAAATAAAATAGAATAAAATGTCAAAAATGATTTCATAACACAACTGCCCATAAAAGGACTGACTTTTCAGAGTTCATCTAGGTGTGGAGTTTTGTAATACCTAAACACCTGAACTTTGATGTTGTGATGATTGTAGGGTATTGATAAAATGCTTACAGCATCTTGAGTGCATTGGTTACGAATTGCTTTGGCAGTCATGTTTTGAATCTTTTGAGTTAGTTAAATATTAATTGTGTAACTTAATTGTTTAGTTATTCTCTGGGTATTAACCTTGGGTCCTGTACTGTGGATCTGGTTTTAATTTACAGTTGAGGTGACAATGTTGTTTTAACTATAGTTAATACAGGAGTGTTCCTGGTGAACTGGGGCGATCAAAACACTTCTCTGTTTTTAAATACTACTGTTGTCAATGTGTCAATTTAAAATGGGAGAAAATCTTTGCTTGGGTTCATTAAATGCAACTTATCATTTAACTTCAATGAGATTGGCTAAGATTCAAAATCGAATTTAAACTTAAAATGTTTTGAAAAGTTTATTTATATTATACATAAGATTTTTCTGAGAATAAAACTTCAAAAAAAGTTATGATACTGATCATTTTTATTGAACATTGGTGCGTGATTTTACTGTCCTACGGGTCTGCGAAAGAACAAGATATTCTACAACAGATCGGTTTTTACAAATACCTTGGAAAAAATCACAAAGGTAAGTACATTTATTTGAGCAGCAGTTATGACTAGAGTTGCCACCTTTTTTTTGCAGATACATAGGTTATTATAGGAAAAAAAGTACACCCCCGATTACTCTCTTTAGACAACCCATATCCTGGGCCAGGAAGGTCAAGTACTTGGGCGTTACCCTGGATGCATCGATGAAATTCCGCCCGCATATAAAATCAGTCCGTGATAGTGCCGCGTTTATTCTCGGTAGACTCTACCCCATGATCTGTAAGCGGAGTAAAATGTCCCTTCGGAATAAGGTGACACTTTACAAAACTTGCATAAGGCCCGTCATGACTTACACGAGTGTGGTGTTCGCTCACGTGGCCCGCACACACATAGACACCCTCCAATCTCTACAATCCCGCTTTTGCAGGTTAGCCGTCGGAGCTCCGTGGTTCGTGAGGAACGTCGACCTACACGAAGACCTGGGCCTCGAATCTATCCAGAAATACATGAAGTCAGCGTCGAAACGGTACTTCGATAAGGCTATGCGTCATGATAATCGCCTTATCGTTGCCGCCGCTGACTACTTCCCCGAATCCTGATCATGCAGGAGCCAGTCACCGTCGACGCCCACGTCCTTACGGATCCATCAGATCCAATAACCTTTGCATTAGACGCCTTCAGCTCTAACACTAGGAGCAGGCTTAGGGACCCCGGTAACCGTACTCGTCGAACTCGACAAAGAGTTCGCCGTGCAACCTAACCCATGAATCAGCTCGCTAAGTTTCTCGCCTGATCTTCTCAGCGGGTCGCGATTCCGATCCTGTAGTAGATTCATTCGCGAAGCAGCTGCTCTTGAGTTGTTAGGTCTCCTTCAGAGGCGCTCGGGTAGCTGTTAGCAAATCCCAGCACTCCTGGCTGAGCCTTTGCTCGCCCACCTGTCCTGGTGAAACTGGAAAGGCCTCCGGGCCACCAGTAATCCTTCAATCATAAAAAAAAAGAAAAAAGTAGGTACATAGTATTAAAATAATAATATTATAAAGAGGAAAGATTTGTTTGTTTGTTTGTTTCGAATAGGCTCCGAAACTACTGGACCGATTTGAAAAATTCTTTTTCCATTAGAAGCCGACATTGTCCCTGATAAACATAGGCTACTTTTTTATTTTTTTTTATTTTATTTTTTTGGTTTCATGTGTGTTTTAATGTTTCCGAAGCGAAGCGATCGCGGGTCGCTAGTATTAAAATAAAGTAAAATTTAAATTTTATTATTATTATGTTTAAATACATATTTTCGACATCGATTGAGCAATCGATGTACCTATTTCGCTTGTAACGCTAGAAAAATTGAAATTGTTTTTTTTGTTTTTAAATTAACGTCCTCTAGCGTATATATGTGGCGCAGTGTGGGGAAATATACCTAGTCAGGTCATAAATTCTGTCACATGTTTAATGTAAAATAATTGAAACAAGTTTATTCATTATGTAACCATTCATATACCAAAATGAACTTAACAAAACATAGATTGTTATGACACTAAATTTATTCAAAATGATCTCCGTGATTTTGAATACAGGCCTTCAATCTGCGCGGCCAGTCGTCTATCGCAGCACGAACGAGGTCCATGTCAATATCGGCGGCTGCCTTAATCAAGGATGTCTTGAGTGACTCCAAATTGGGATGAAGCTTTGAGCACCCCTTTTCCTCCAAGTGTTGCCATATCTTGTAATCTAACGGATTCAAATCTTGACTGGAGGAGGGCCAGTCTTCGTGCCGGATGGAGTCGATTTCACGCGCCGCCAGCCAGTCTTGTGTGCTCTTCGCTCTATGAGCTGGCGCCGAATCTTGTTGGAATACCCAGTGCCTGTTATTGAACATGGTATGAGAAACAGGTTCTACAAGGTTCGTCAGGACTGTATTTTGATACACAACTGCATTCGTTTTTACACCTTTCTCACAAAAATGTACCTCTGTTACGCCCCAATAAGAAACTCCCAACCATACCATGAGCGAGGATGGAAAATGACCTCGTTGGACACGCGGAATACGGTTGCTCGCTTCTTCACTACTGTGTGCGTACACCTTATCATTTTGTTTGTTGTAGCTCTCTTCTACGGTAAAAATTTTTTCATCCGAAAAAGAATTTCCCGATATTTTTTTCCCGCGTACCGCTTCAACAAAGCGTGGCATCTCTTCAGTCTCAGGTCCATTAGACGAGCATTCAAACGATTTTCTGTTTTTCTTCGATATGCCCGAAGCCCTAAGTCTTCATTTAACACCCTTTTCACCGTGGTTCTGCTTAACCCCATCTGAAGGGCCAACAGTTTCTGCTTACGTTTGGGATTTCTTTGAAATCGCGCCTTCACAGCTTTTATCACTGCTGGAGTCCTAACAGACCGAGGGCGACCACTTCTTGACCTGTCATCTACACTAGANTATTCAGCACTTCAAACATACCAAGGTACTTGTAAGTTTCCGATTCACAAAGAGACTTGAGGACCACACTATGGTTAAGTAGTAAGCAATCTGAGCTTACAACTTTACCTCTCTGTACATCTATGAACGCACATTTATCAACACCAAATTCCATCCCAATGGCTTTACTAAAACTGTCGGTTATTTTAAGTAAACTCATTAAGTCCGGTTTTTTGGAAGCAAATAATTTGAGATCATCCATGAACAAGAGATGTGATATAGCCTCAGCTCCTCTGCGAAGTCGGTAGCCTAGCGTTGAATTTTTAAGTAATGTACTTAAAGGATTAAGCGCCAAACAAAACCACAAAGGACTCAGACTGTCGCCCTGAAAGATACCCCGCTTAATCCCTATTAAATTGACCCACGTATGAGCTAAGAAAGGAGCATAGTATGGGATTTATTTTATATAGCTCTAAAACTCTCATTAGCAATGTATGAGGCACAGAGTCATACGCTTTCTTATAATCAATCCAAGCCATATGAACATTCCTCTTACCCCGCCGAACTTGTTGTGTAATGGTCATGTCAATGAGTAGCAAATCTTTTGTACCTCGAGACCCTGCCTTACATCCATTCTGATTAGGTGATAAAATGTTATTATTAAAAATGTGATTTTGAATTTTGATTCTCAAAATGGATGTAAGTAGCTTATAGATGGTAGGTAAGCATGTAATTGGTCTGTAATTCTTGGGATCCGAGGTATTGCCAGATTTATAAATCAAATAAGTGATACCAGATGTCATGAAATCTGGGAGTGATCCCAACTCAAGGGCCTGTTGGAACAGAGCTGCCAGGCGTTCATGTGAACTTCTGATCCACTTGATCCAGTAACTGTGCAGTCCGTCCGGTCCAGGACTTTTCCAATTTGGCATCGAACGTACTGCACGAGAAACATCAACAGCGGAAATTGTTATTGGATCCATCTCTTTATACGATTCACATTCCCGCCCGACAGTTTGTATCCATTCCCCTTCAGAGTGACCAATGGGTATCGACCAAATATTCTTCCAAAATGTTATACTCTTATTTTTATGAAAAATAATATGGAGTGAAATAAAGTGAAACGAAATGAAATGATTAATTTGAGACATTAATCAACTGGGATGAAATTAAATGAAATGAGATGAGATGATATGGGATGAAATAATATAATCTCAGTAAAATGGTGGTCATATAATGAGATTATTTCAGGGGACTTTTTGGAGGATCCCGGGAAGTTACGTCCAGCAGCTTTGTTTAATTTTCCCACATTTGTGCACTTTCACAGATATTAAATAGTTAATAAACCACCGTTATTACAAATTTAAACCTAAAGAAACACTAAATAGACAAAATAAAACAAATCATAGAATTTCACTCCTCGCGTTACGACTAAGTAGGCGGCAGGGCATAAGAAAAAGCGCTATTCTCTTTCCGCACCAACCAGGCACCACTATAGGAGTCTCG